TTCGGAATTCAATTTCGGGGTCATTTTAAATTAACCGGGGTCGGGTTTTGGATTTTTAATTTTGGGGGCATGTATAGGCTTGACATTATATGATTCAAGAATATCTAGCATAAATTATGCCTCGTAGAGATGCCTACAGGCCTGATTAATATATATAACAAGCATAAAATCATTTTCTGCAATCACATGGAGCATGTTACATCAGTCAACGATCGGTGTAATGATATGTGATAATTTTTCCGTCATGAATTCTGACAATTGACAAAAAGAAAAGTGCCAAGAGAGCGAGCCTACAAATCATAACATTTACGTAACTGAGGAGCCTGATAAGATTGAACCCACTAAAAAACAGTGTATTGAGCAAGGGTTAATAAAAGAATTACTCAGTAGCAACCCAATTGTGCCACCTGTTTCTTCTGAGATTATAGAGGATCGAACATTTCAAATCACAACACAAAGCTTAGTCCGTTTATTTCATTATGCGATCTAGTCATGAAGAAATCTTAGCTTGGTACTATTACTCAGATGATTTTGAAAATAAAGTTATTGAGTTAGGGGTTACAGATAAAACTGCTAGAATGCAATTATACAAGGAAATGTTAAACCATCTACCTGGTATTACATCAGGAAACTTGTGTATGAAAACTTCAAGAGCCAAGAAAATTCAGATGTTGTTTGGGAAAGGTGAAGTTGGAAAAGATAAAATTAGAACAAGTCTCCTACAGTACAAATGCCATCTCTAGTCTTACTAATAGTCAAATTCAAAACGTTATCAAGAATGTAACTTCAGCAGAACCATTATTGGAAACCATCACAAATCCTGACGATCAAACTATTGCAAAAGCAAATATAACACTTGTACCTTTACCAGACATCAAGATATTATCAGTAACTGAGGTAAACGAGGAAACTTTACCGGAAACTGAGGTAAATACATCTATTTCTGCTAATTTAGAAAATTTTCCAAAAACATCGATAAGTGTCGAGACCTCATATAATTTCATAGCTCATATTACTAATTTGGATTTCGTTATTACTATGATTTAAATAACAGGAAGAAAACTAATAAAGAATCATCTTTACTAAATTTATATAATATAATTAGTACCTATTAACTTTAACTCTGCTAGTTTCACAAATATATGATATATATGATTAAAAAATTCACTCATAAATTCATAGCCACGATATGCCTTTATACGATTTACATTTCACAAATAAAGTATCAATTTTTTTTCCATATCAGGTTTATTGCATTTAGAATTTATTGAGAACATTCAAAATTTAAACGTGAATATCTCCGCGGATATCGATGCTACAGGAATAATTTACATATCATCTTGTAGCCAAGAACCAGGGCTTTCGATCTGTCATAGAAACACCTTAGTAGAAAATCACTTCCTGTCTCGTAAATTGTGACCAAAGTCAAAAAAATTGAATTTTTGAGCGTAAATTTCCGTGGGTCCCGTTTTTATTACGGAAATTTACGCCCCGAAAAATTTTCTGATTTATACATGTCATCCAAATTCCAAAATAATTTGAGATTTGGGTGGTAGAATAGGCTCAAATTATTTGGACTTCAAAAGTCAAAAAAGTCCAAAGCCCAAATTATTTTTGACAGCCCAAATTATTTTTGGCAGTCCAAATTATTTTTGGCAGTTCAAATTATTTTTGGTAGCGAAAAAAATATTTGAAACTAATTACTTATTTAAAATTTGTGACACAATAGATCTAATAATCATTTTTTATTAAATTTTTTTTTTTAATCTTTGCTTTTTTTTTTTTAAAAAAAAAAAAATAAAACTAAACTTATATATCCTTTGCTTTAATAATATCCTTAATATACTATCTTTTTTTTTCTTACTTTTTGCTGGTTCGTGGGGACACCATGAGATCGAAATGACTTTGAAATAGGTTTCATAAACTTGAAGGGACGTATAGTAAAATGGTGAGTTTTTTTTTTAGTTTTTTTTTTTAAAAAAAATATAAATAAGTGAATAAATAACTTATACTTACCTTGCCCTCTTTCTCCTTTTCACCTATAGCTGGTTCATGGGAACACCGTAGGATCAAAATGGACTTCGAAATAAGGTATCACGGCTTAAGGGACGTACGGCAAAATGATGAGTTTTTTTTTTAGTTATTTTTTTTTTAAAAAAAAATAAATAAATAAATAAATAAATAACTCATACTTATCTTGTCCTTTCTTATATTCACCTTTAGTTGGTTCGTAGGGACACCGTGAGGTTGAAATGGACTTTGAAATAGGTTTCACAGGCTTGGGGGGACATACTATAAAATGGTGAGTTTTTTTTTAGTTATTTTTTTTTTTAAATAAATAAATAAATAAATAATATATATTTACCTTGCCCTCTTTCTTCTTTTCACCTTTAGTTGGTTCGTGGGAACACCATAAGATCGAAATAACTTTGAAATGGATTTCACGAACTTGGAGGGACGTATGACGAAATGATAAGTTTTTTTTTTAGTTATTTTTTTTTAAAAAAATATATAAAAAAGTGAATAAATAACTTATACTTACCTTGCTCTCTTTCTCCTTTTCACCTTTAGCTGGTTCAGGAGGACATCATGAAATCAAAATGGACTTCGAAATGGATATCACGGCTTGAAGGATATACGGCAAAATGATGAGTTTTTTTTTAGTTATTTTTTTTTTAAAAAAAATAAATAAATAAATAAATAAATAACTCATACTTACTATATATGCCCCAAAATTAAAAATCCAAAACCTGACCCCGGTTAATTTAAAATGACCACGAAATTGAATTCCGAAATTCAAAATTGATCCCGAAATTATTATAAAAGACGAAAATATTTACGGGGGTCAAAATTATTACGGAGAACAAAATTTAGTGTAACCCAATCAAAATTAGCATTTCGACAGGAGGACGAAATAGTTGTGAAACCCCAAAATTATAGATCTATAGATTTTTTTTTTTTAAAAAAATAAAGTTTAGGGCGATCGCGAAATGGCGTAGGTTTTTTCTTTCTTTATTATTATTTTTTTAATAAAATAATTCACTACCTCTTAATTTACCCTTTTACCTCTCCTTAACT